GATCTATCATGTATTACCATAACAGTTGGGTGATAATGGTCTCGTTGCAACTGGTTTGCTTTTCCTCCTCTATATGTGTGTTAGTTGCATAAGTTGTTTGGCTCTCTGCTCTCAGTTTTTTTTATTTTTTGATTATGAAAAATGTTGATGTGATGTGGTAATGATTGATCTTGCCATAAATTATGTTTCTTTGTATTTCCTACTTTGAAATGTTGTGGATGTGTGATCCTGTATATTTCGTGTATTTAACGTTGCTTATGGTGGTTCTCCCTGCGTTTTTACAATTATTTATGAAAAAAAATGATTGTAGTTAGATAGCATAAAATATTTGTAATTTGATTTGATTTGATTTGTTTCTGATTTGATTTTTTAAAGTACCAATTATTGATAATGATTAGATTGTATTTTGAAAAAAAAATTATAATTGATTTTTTTAACTAACTGTGTTTTTTGGAAAAAAAATTATTGTGTTTTTTTAACTATCAATTTACTTAATTTGTGATTTGATTTTAACTCACTGTGTCTTTTGAAAAACAAAATGAATTGTACTCATTACGGTCAACATAATGTACCAATGTATTGATGAATGATTAGATTGTATTTTGACCCCAAAAAATTGTAATTGATCTTTTTAACTCACTATGTTTTTTGAAAAATAAATTATTGTGTTTTGTTAATTATTGATGATGATTAGATAGCATTAAAAAATTGTGATTTTGTAGTATTGAATTATATTTCTCCTTTTGTTTATAATTTTATTTTTTAATGTAATTGAAGTTAGATAAAACAATAACAACTGAAAAAAGAAAAATATGATTGTAGTTTGCTCAATGGTTCTAATAATCTTTTTTATTTACTATTTTAACGGTTATTTTTTTCAAATTGATTTTTTTTATTATGAGAAAAATGTCATTGTAGTTATGATAACATTAAAAATTTGATTTGTATGAATTGAAGTTATCTCCTAATCTGAATTTTCCTAATATTTTATTAAAAAAAAAACTCAGCATTTATTGATTTTGGTCAAAATTTCCTGACCAGCATTTATAATTTTTTTCAATTCACATGTCTTTACACATGCCTACATTTATTGATTTGGTCAAAATCCTTGATCAGCATTAAAATCCCTTCATATAAATAATTATAGAAACAATCTGTGTATAGTTACTGCAGTACCCTTTTCAACTTCTCTCATATACTATGATTAATGATAAGATTGTAAAATTATTTTATAAAAAATCTCAAAAAAACATAATTTATATATTAAAAAAATCTAAAACAAATATAAATATTTATAATTATCCCGTGCATAGCACGAGTGATAGGCTAGTATCAATGATGCTACGTAGCTTGAAACTCCTCCCCCGAATCCCCCGAACAAAAAAAAAAACAATGTCGTTTTTGCTTCTTGTTTTTTGTTTTTTTTTTTTTTTTTTTTTTGTAGATCAGAACCAGGAAGAAGAAGGAGGAAGAGGGACTGGAGGGGGAGGAGGAAGAGGGACTGGAGGGGGCATAACATTCGAGGGAGGAAGAGGCGGAGGCGGAGACGGTGGTCGGAGCTGGAGTTGTTGCTGCTGCTGCGACGAGCGGGCGGCGAGGCTCGCAGCCCTCTTCTTCCTTCTCCTTCTCTCTCCCTCTCCTTCTCCCTCTTCCTCTTCCTCTTCCCCTACGTTTCAGTTTCAGACTAAAAATAAAGAAAAAAAAAAATCCCAAATTAATGTCCAAAACAATATTATTTTGAACATTAAGAAAATTCGAAGGGAGGAAAGTTTCGAACTACCAAATATTATTCGGCTAGTATATATATATATATGTAAAATAGAATTAAATAAAAAAGAAAAAAAAAAAAAAAACCAAATTAATGTTCAAAACGATGTCATTTTGAACATTAAAAAAATTCAAAGGGAGGAAAGTCTCGCACTACCAAATATTATTCGGCTAGTATACATATATGGAAAGGAGAATTCATATTCATTGCAACGGCACAAAAAGTCGACCTAAGCTGACAGCCAGGACAGATGGTGCGGACTCATCAAGCGCATGTTAGCACTGACACTTACCGCTTTATGGACCTTTCTTTTTTAGTACTATGTTTTTTTTTTGTTTTTTTATTTTATGACGAGGGTGGGGACTGTTTGGGAGGTAGCAACTTATTAACTGCTTACATGTGATTACAATATTTGTAAGGGCTTTTGAGTCAGCAATATTAATGAATTATTAGCAACTATTTGACCTCCAAACAAGACATAAATTATGTATTTAGGATAAAATGGTGGGGGTTTAGAGAGCCCATTACCCTCCATATTCACATATACTATCCATATTAGGTAATATCACATCTCATCTCCACATTAAACACCTAACATTGGGTTTAGTAGAGTCTCTCTTTTATATCCTCTATATTCTCTATTGACTAAAAAAACAAAAAATATTGAATACACATGATCATAATACAAAAATTGCAAGGTTTACTTTAATCTCTGTAATTTGTACTTAAAACTCACATTTACCTTCAAATGCGAGTACTCCATAATTATTGTTAACATTTTGAATAATAGTTATTGTTAAGATTTTGAACCCAAAAAAATATGACATGCAACTCCCATAAAAGTTTTAGAAAAATATTTGGTGGTCACAAATTCTGTGGCTCAAATGGCTCGAAAATGCCAAAACAACGTCGTTTTGACATTTTTGAAGTTATTTTGTACTTAAAATGACGTCGTTTTAATATTTTCGGACCATTTGAGTCACAGAATTTGTAGTCACCAATCATTACCGAAAATTTTAATAATTTATCCCACAAAAATATATACATATATATATATATATATATATGAATAAATTAAAATGATAGTCCTTATAAATTCTTTATACTTTCATTTGAATCCCTCTAATTTCATACATATCATTTCCCGTCCAAAACATTAAAAGGTAATTGACAAAAAGACCGCATTAAAATTTTACCCTATTTAAGGGTAACCCACAACACAGATCAATCCAAATTACATTTTCTAATTTTGTACACCAAGACAATATATATCTATACTATATATTAAGTAAAAAGAAGTTTTTAGTCCCAAACTTTGTGAGAATTTCAATCTCTCAATCTAAATTTCTTGATTTTTTAATTTTAAAAAAAAAATAAAATCTTAACATTTATTAACTTCTCCCAACTCCCAAGTCTTACTCTCATAATAACACTTTAATACATTAAGAACAAGCATAAAAAAATTCTTTGAAATCCAACACATATGAATTTCTTAAAAAGTCCTAACATATATGATTATTATCCCTCATAATAACACTTTAATACATTAAGAACAAACATAAAAAAAAATTCTTGAAAAGTCCAACACATATGATTATTATCAAAATATTAAACTTTAATATAATATAAAAAGAAAAAAAAAAGAAAACATTTAAAAATCACAATTCATATATATAGATAATTGTAAAGAATTTCTTAAAAAGTCCTAACATATATGATTATTATCCCTCATAATAACACTTTAATACATTAAGAACAAACATAAAAAAAAATTCTTGAAAAGTCCAACACATATGATTATTATCAAAATATTAAACTTTAATATAATATAAAAAAGAAAAAAAAAACATTTAAAAATCACAATTCATATATATAGATAATTGTAAACACAATCCGTACTATGCACGGGTGATATGCTAGTATATATATAAATAAAAATGTTAGAGATTTCAAAAATTTTACTAAACATTCTACTAAATATCTCACATAAATGTGAGATTCATATAAGACCGACATTGTATGAATCTCACCCCATATAAGACATTTAATAAAAATTTTAATGTCTCTAATACTATTCAGCCTCTGTTTGGGAAAAAAAAGCCCAGGCTTTTTTTGCTAAAATAGTCACAAAAAACAAAATAGGCTATTTTAGCCACAAAAAACAAAATATCAAATTCAACCCATAATCATTACAATCATTTCTCACAAAAAAAGTCAAAAAAGTCAAAAAGTCAAAAAACCCTTCCCAAACCAGACTAAAATAACCCAGGCTAAAAAAACCAAAAAACCAACCCACTTCCCAAACGGAAGCTCATATATATTTTTTCTAATTTTGTACACCAACACCTCTCATACACATTCCATACTCTCTCTCCCTTCTTGAGAAAGAGTCCAACTCAGTAATAAATGGTTATTCAACCACCCATCCCACCCCTTAATAAGGATACCGACCATCATTTAAAAACTCGTGTACTTAGTCACCTTCCAACCCACCCCATAAGAATCTCCATCTTTCACTATGACAATATTACCCCTGCTCTAAGAAGAAAATTAAAAAAATACTATGGTCCCTATACAATCTTAAACCTCCGTTTGACAAGTTAGTTTTTGAATTTTTTTAGTTATTTTAGTTACAAAAGACAAAATAAATTATTTTAGTCACAACAAACAAAACATCACATCCAACCTATAATCATTATATTTTTCTCTCAAAAAAATCAAAAAACCATTCTCAAACCAAATTTTTTAACCCAAGCTAAAATAATCAAAAAAGTCAAAAAACCAACTCACTTCTCAAACGAAACCTAAATCTTTTACATAAGTGTAAAACCCACACAACTCACATGTGCGTAAATCACAAATCTATATAAGAAATTTGATAAAAAAAAAATTAATAAATGATTTAAAATTGCTAACACAACTAAAAAAATTATCATGTTAGCTAGGTCTAGATTGATAGAGAGGGAACTTTAACAAGATATAACAATTAAAGAGAATTCTACTATACACTGCTATACACACCTCTTATTATATGCACCTCAACTTATAATTAATTTTCTTCTTTAATTATGACTTTATTTTAATTATAACTCATGATCCCTTATGTGTTATTTGATTATGACTTTTTATTTTATCTTAATTATGACTCAAAAAATATAAAATTATGTTATTTTTTCTTTAGTTACAAAGTGCATCCCTAGCCTTTTCCAACAATTAATACAAAATTGAGATCACACAAGGAAAAAAATTGACAATTTCTTATTGATGAAATGGTTGTGCAAAGAAATAACAGTATCAACAACACATCATATTCATCCTCTTCCTTCACCAACCCTGTAAATTACCCACCAAGACCATCCAAATCTCCCTCAATGGCTTTCATGTTTTGTATATATCATCATTATATATACATGTACATATCCTCATCTAAAAGCCAGCCAGCCAGCCACCAACCCATCTCTCTCTCTCTCTGACCTGATTCAATGAATTGTACACACATTGCTCTACTCTCAATGACCAAGGAGATATCTACTAGAACAAGGCCAGCCTACAAGAAAATGAAAAACAAAGAACTATGGAGGGCCAAAAAAAAGGGGGGGAGTGATGGAAGGAAGATGGAACCAGAGAGCAATGAGGAATGAATGAATAAATAAAAAAGCAACAAAAAAAAAAAACTAGATTATCTCCCGGGGTTCCAATGGCAACGACTTCTAAAGAGTTTATTCTGCAGTAGGCTTCATTTATGTCACAGACAACGCATAATCCTGGTTATGGTGGGGATGGGAAGTGATGAGAGAGCTATGGAAGAAAAAGAGTTTCCTACCAAGCTCAGCGTGTTGGGCTAGAAGTAGAGAATGCAAGAGAAAAAAAGGAGGATAAACAATAGTATAGTAGTACGCTCATGTGTTGTTCTAGAAACTATAATGCCTCACCGATGACTCCAACACCTCTGGACTCGGGGAAACCATTTCTTTAACCCGGCTGCTTTTTTTATAAATCTTGAACGTTGGTACAATCCTCACGTTCTCAGCAATTGCAAGCGCAGGGCTCTCCTCCACATCCACCTTTCATGAAACAAGCATCGTATGCATTAAGTCGTGTTTTTATTTAAATTTATTCAAGCAGAAACTAAGAAAAATTCAAGTTGGGTGACATCAAAAACAACAAAGAAATAAAATGCCAGTAATTTACCTTAAGAAAATTTATGGACGGGTAACGTCCGCATAGGGTGTCAAAAAAAGGAGATATCTGCTTGCATTGCAGATTGGATGATGCTTTGAAATGGACTACAGAAGCACCTGTAATTTCAAATTGTAAATTCAATGAGTTGTGATTTTGATAGCAGAATCAAGTGAAAAACAACCAAATGTGGGATGACATACCTGGAGAAGAAATTGCAGCCCTGAACTGCTCGAGACCTGTTACTAACTCAACTTCCCCACCAAACTTCATGTTATGGACTTCTTCCCCACGGGATTTCTTCAACGCAACTTGGGCGTGGAACAAAGACTCTGCAACCTCATTGTCATCAGGAAGCTCCTTCCTCAAGACCTCATAATCTCTGACAGCCTCAGCCCAATGCTCAAGCTATAATCACATTGTTCAAACATTCACTTAAACATCAAATCACAAACTAGAGAGCTCTACCAAATTAAGAGCAATCCTACCTTGCTGTTTGAGGCAGCCCTTCTAAGCAGTGCTTTGGTGTAGTTAGGTTGGATACGTAGAGCTTGATTGCAATCATCAACCGAACGCTCCCAAAGCCCAAGCTTATACCAACAAGCTGCTCTGTTGCAGTAGAGAACCGAGTTTGTTGGGTCAAACCTGAGGCCTTCACCATAGGCAGAGCAGGCTTCAGTAAACCTTTCGGATTTGAAGAGATCATTGCCACGGGCACGAGCTCTCGACACCAGCCTTACATTGTTGAGCAGAACTGAGACTTCAATATTCCGAGGATCAATCTGCCCTGCTTTCTCAGCAGCTGTAACTGCATTCTCAAACCTGCAACACATCCATCATCCATCCTCACTCTCCCCCGTAACCCTTAGTTCTTCTATTATTGTGACATTAAAAAATAAATAAATAAATAAAAATTCAAACTCACCTTCCAAAAGCCATCTCAATTTGCGCTTGGACAAAAAAGAGGTACGCTTCCAACAGCATCCCAAAAAATTTTGAATGTGAGCTAGAGGAAATAGATAGTTCAAAATTGGGAACGTTTGATAGGCTCAAATGGGCATCTTCTACTTGGTGAAGCTTCAAGAAGGCTTCTGCTTTACACGTATGCAGCTGTAAAATTTGTTTTCACAAGTTAAATTATATAGTTATTGGATTTATGGCATATCTCTACCACTACGAGTAGTAAAAGTTTGAGGCATTGCCTTACCTGAAGAGAAGCGTCAGCTCCAGCAGCAATGGCAGCATCACTTTCCCTCAATGCACTTTTCCAGTCACCAATCTTCCGAGCATCAGTGCATTTGCTCAAATGAATTTCTACTTCTTGCAACTTTTGCAACTCACTCGCATCTGGTTGATATCCAGGAAAACAAAGGTGCCTCCTGGCATTTTCAACTTGTCCTAGACTGCGATCCTAACAGGAATTAGATTGCTTGTAGCACAATAATGTAGGAAAAATAACAGATATCGCAATAACTTAAAAACAAAACAAAACAAACATAGCATTGAAACAAATAGAGGTAGAGCTTCTTGAAAGATCCAAGACAATAACTCAAGATTTACGAATGAAATACTACAAATTAGACTTAAGGTACAGTTTAACTTGATTATGATTTCAATAGAACCAAAATGCACTTGAAGTGAAAGTAAAAATCCTCAAATACCCAAAAAGAGCAAACACATTTGGCAAAGTCCACCAAAAACGCACGAAGCAATTAATCTTAAAGACATCCAAAACCAGTATCCATTATTCTAAATCATTCACATAGAAGACCAATAAGCTAATTCGTTAATCTAAGTAACTTAAACATAATAAGATATAATAACATAGCAATGAGATGCCATTGTTTACCAGGTAAAACATTAAAATCAATTACACATACATACCAAACAGGTAAACCCACAAAACAGATCTGAGAGAAGATAAAAGAAAAGAACCATTGTCACCAATGTAGATCACAAAAAACCCGAATTCACACAAACCCACATAACATTACATTAAATTTCCCTAGATTTATGAAAACATGAGCAAATAAAGCAACAAATAGGCATAAAAAAAACTTGAACTTTCATTCACTCACTCACCGAATAAGAAGAGATCCTAAACGATGGTGTGCCTTGGCATAACCTGGATCCAACTTAATGGCCTCTTCCAATTCCCTCACTGCTTCGGCGAATCGCCGGAGACCCGTCAGCGCCACCGCACGGTTGAACCGGTACGTAGCATTTCCCGGCGAAATCGCAATTGCACGATCGTACAAACTCAACGCCTCGCCCAAATTCCGAAGCCTGTACTGCTCATTCCCTGCCCTCTTCAAATCCTCCGGATCCGCACTCGACATGACTCTCCTCACCGAATCTCCGCCCCCAACCACCCCTTCTCCGCCCAATTTGGCGGCGGTGCCGCCCCGCATTATGCTACCGTGTCCGTAATTGCCGGTTCCGGAACCCAAAACATCGTGTTTTGAGCTCCGACTCGCCATTCCCGTCTTCAAAACCTTGCCCGACTTGCATATATTGCCTGTCGGAAGCACATTGACCGTAGGCGAATTCACGGAGCTCCCACCCGAATAGATTAACGGGGGAGAGTTCCATGAATCGGACCTCCGGTGCCCGGGTTTAACGCCCCGGGAGCCTCCGGAGGCCGTTGGGGAGCTCTCGACGGACCCCGAGAGCTCCCCAGAGTGATTGTTACCACCCGAATCGGATTTCTTGAATAACTGATTGGACCCATTTCTACCCGAGACCGATCCAGACGAGCTCGAACTGCTGCTTGTTGTGGTTGTGGTGGTGGCGGTGGTGGTGGTGAGTCCACTCGCGGCGGGTCCGCCCGAGTGGCGAGTCCGCAAGGGCGAGACTGGTGAGCCCAGATCGAGTTCTCTGAAGTCGGGCTTGTTGGTGTTGGCGGTGTCATAGGTGAGAGAGTCTCGAAACCGATCGGTCAGAGTATCAATTTCAAGTTCGGAGATGGGTTTTCCAGAATGCGTCATTTTCGAACGAGAAATGTGGGCTAAATTCTCTGAGTTGGCTGGATTTCTCTCTCTAGGCTTTGTTTTTGCGCTTTGGTGTTTCAGCAATGTCTGTCGTTGAAGCTACAAGACCACCACCAACCAATACAATACAGAGAGAAACAGAGAGGCCTTGAAGAAGACATGCAGAGAGAGAGAGAGAGAAACAGAAAAGAAAGAAAGAGAAAGATGGGGATCTCGTGATTTAAAAGGGTGAAGCAAAGAATGAATGTGAGTGTTAGAGAGAGAAGGAAAGAGATTTAGAGAGAGAGAGAGAGAGAGAGAGAGAGAGAGAGAGAGAAAGGGTTTTACAGAGAGAGTTGAACAAGACAAGTGAGAGGATAAAAGTAAAATATATATTTTTTTTTTCTTTTCTTTTCTTTTCTTTTCTTTTCTTTCTTACTTGCTGCTTCACGAGACAGGTTTCCATTTCTCTCTTTCTTTTCCGTCAGCCTCCATAATTTACTCTATGTTGTTTTTTAATTGAAAATTTGTGAAAATGTTATACCTATCACAATTTTTTTATTATATTTAATAATAAATTATATTAACGGTCTTTATAATTTAAAATTTGTATTATTTTAATTTTTTACTTTTTAATTATAATACATTTGACTTTAAATTTTAAATTTTATTTCAAATAAAGATAATTAAATATATCATTATTTAATTTTAAAGACAAAGTTGTCAATTTAATAAAATATAAACTAATTTGATAAAAATAAATGTCAAAAAAATATTTTTGAATTTGTAAAAATTATTTTTATCCACTAAAGATAAAATTATGTAAAATTGATAAATCTTTTAAACATTTATTTATTTTTCTAAATTAATTTTTATTATGTATTTAAATGATGATCATGCAATAGGTGATTGTTTTTATTTTTATTAAATTAGTTTCTATTTTTTCAAAAGTCAAATATGACGACAACTTTGATATCTTTATTAAACCAATCCATTAAATTAAAAAATCTAAAACTAAAAAATATTGATTATACATTAAAATCTTAACAACCACCCATTACATAATCATCATCTAAACACATAATAAAAATTAATTTAGTAAATAAATAAATAAATAAATGCCTAAAAGATTATCAATTTTATATAATTTTGTCTTTGGTGTGTAAAAATAATTTTTAAAAATTTAAAAATATTTTTTTGACATTTATTTTTGTCAAATTAGTTTGTATTTTTTTAAATTAGCAATTTTACCCTTTAAATTAAGTAATGGTATTTTCAATTGTCCTTATTTGAAACACGATTCAAAATACATAATCAAATGTGTCACAATTAAAAAATTAAAAACAAAAATTATACAAATTTCAAACTATAGAACTATAAGTGTAATTCACCTTATATTTAATTTATTGTTTCATGCAGTAATAACACATCATGATAAGTTCCCTCTCATATAGTGAATTTTTTAAAATGTGTAACAAAATTAAGGTATATTTAAAAACAAACATCTCCTTGAAGGAGAATATTGAGACAATATGTTTTAATCCATGAAAAATAAGGTATGATATTTTTAAATAATTATAAAAAAATTATAATTATGTTTGTAGAATCCACAAAACATCACTTTCAATATAATTAACTGTTAATTTTACAATCCAAAATTGTATGAATATACCTAAACGAGTATAGGGGTTTATCTTAAAGAAAAAGTGAGATTTGGGATTTAATTCATATCTCACTTTAAAGATTATGAAATGGACATAATAGTGATATTGAAAAAAGAATCACCAAACAAATTTGCATAATTAATTAATAAGCCATGAACATATAAGAATGTATTAAATCATATGTAGCTGTGGATTCGATTCTTATCGCACAAAAATAGCGTTTAAATGAGCACTTCATTGAAGAAGAAGAAGAAGAAAAAAAACAAAAAACAAAAAACAAGTAACAATAACAATAACAATAACAAAAAAAAAAATAATTGCAGGTCTTCTTAATAAAATATTTTTATAAGTTAATTAATGCATTTAAAATAATTGTAAATTTCTTCATTACAATTATGGCTTTTTTGTTAAGCAAAATACACTTAGAATTATTCACCCCAAAAAAAATACACTTAGAATAAAAGTTTTTAAAAAAACCTTTTTTTAATTAAATAAATTACAGTATGTAGCACATGCTCCATATTTGCCTCTTATCACTATAAAATCATAGTTAAAATTGTGATAAAAGATTTAAGAAAATAAATGATCATATTCAAAACTAAAGATGTTAATTGTAAATAAGATATATTTTTAAAAAATTTATAGCCTTAATGAGACACATTAATGTTTATTAAAACTACAAAATAATTTTTACATTTTTTAAATACTGAGAGGGAGGTTTTACGACTGAATATTGGACCTAGTTGGTTTGGACCGAAGTTGATGCCCTCTGCTCGGTCAAACATTGAGTATGCGCTTGACCGAGGCTTTAGCCCAGTCGAGTTAGAACAATTGTGGATTACCAGTCCGCGGGAGATTTGCACTCTTCGGAATCGAATTGGATTAGTCCTTCAACGGCTTGGACTGTGCTCATGCTCGGTTGTGACCATGGAGCTCGGTTGAGCCACGATGTGAGGTTATCAAAGAAACCGGACAAGTAGCACGATTGTTGAGAAATGGCATCGCCCCGCATTAAAGCGTAGCTCGGTCAATAAAACTATGCGGCACCATGAGTCTACAGGAAGGGGATTGCACTGTCCATACGCGCCAAGCCGTTTCGTGGTTTCGTTAGGTGGTGTTTAGCTGTATTTGTGCTAACACGTAGGGAAATTAGAGAGGGGAGCAGGTCCATGCGTCTAGAGGGGAATGGACGCAAAAGCAAGCACAGAAGCTATATAAAACGGTGTTGCTCCCCCGTACTCAGGTCTGAAGCATCCTCTCATCAGAACTCACTTACCACTTTGTCTCTCTCTTTCTCTCTCTCTCTCCCTAAGTGTGCTAACTTGATCGTCGGAGGGAATTTCTGGCAGCACACCGCCAGGTAGCTCATCTTCATTGTGTTCTTAGGTCGATCGAAGCATAGCGTAGCTTGGACACAAGGAATACAAGTAATGTCGGATATTTGGCTCCAGTACAAATACTATTATACATTTATCACATATATGAATCTATTGGCTAATCGTTAACATTTCTTTATTTAAAAAAATCATAAGATGAAGAAAAAAACTACAATGTCTATTTTAGGTCACTTGGTCCAATTTTTTTTGTCATTGTATTTTTTGTTCTTAATATTTTGTTCTCCAATTTTTAAGATAATGCACCTAAATTTATTTAAAAATGACTTGCTAAAAGGAGGGAAAAAAAAAAGAAAAAAGAAGAAGATAAATTCAAATGCAGCATAACCATTTATAACCAAATATATATATATATATATATATTTGAAAATTTGGAGCCCACAATAAGGGAAGCGTGCTACACACCCAAAAAAAACTTTGTGGGGGGTGGAAATATACATATTTTGGCTATGTTTAGCATGATTTTTTTATTTTTTTACTATATTAATTATAGAAAAATAAAATAAATTAAAAATTTAATAAGATAAAATATTATATTAAAATTATAATTATTTTATTTTTTCTCTCACAAAAGTCAAAAAACTCATCACAAACGAAACTTTTTAATCTTAAATTAAAATAATAAAAAAGTCAAAAATTCAATCCACATCCCAAACGAAGGTTTTACGTATTTCACAAATATCTTATAAAGGATGAGATTGCAAAAAAAAAGTGCGTATATTATGCCCTTCTGGCTTATTGTTAAGGGCGAATTATACTAAAGGTCCCTATAGTTTAAGATTTGTGTCACTTTGATTAATGGCTTTTCAATTGTGACATATTTGACTCAAAATTTTGAATCTTGTTTCAAATAATGACAAATGAATATATCATTACTCAATTTCAAGAGTAAAGTTATTAATTTGATAAAATATAAACTAATTTGGAAAAAATAAATGTTAAAAAAATATTAAAAAATAAAAAAAATTATTTATACCCACCAATGATAAAATTATATAAAATTGATAAATCTTTTACACTTTTTTTTTGTACCAAATTATTTTTTATTATGGCCTCGTTTGGTGTAACTGTTAAAACATATTATAAATTATAACTTAACAGATTATTGATTATGATTTTAATCAAAAGCTGTTAATCTGTTTTGTGTAATTGTTGGATTACAGATTTAACTTACTGAGTTGTGAAGTAGTTTTTTCAATTGACTTTTATTTTTTGTGAAGTAGTTTTTTCAATTGACTTTTATTTTTTGTTATTTACTACTTGTTTATATTTCTCATTAAATAATAATAATAATAATAATCTATGGTCCATTTAGGTCTTTTTATTTTTAAAAAAATAAAAAATAAAAAAATGTAAGAGTATAACCATAAATTAATATGTCTATAGAATAAAGTTGATAATCAAAAGTAAGGGAGGAGCAGCTTCTTAGAATCAATTTTTCTGAGTTAAAATAAGTTGTTAGAATTAGAAACTGTCTGAAATAAGTTTAACCAAACAGCCAAAATTATTTTTCCAAAATTAAAAGCTATAAGTTTACTCAAAAAAGCCTAAACAAGCACCCCTACATGTTTTGATGATGATCATGTAATGAGTAGTTGTTTTTATTTTCATTAAATTAGTTTTTATTTTTTTAAAATTCAAATATGGTGACAACTTTGATATCATTATTAAACCAATCAAAAAATTCAAAACTAGGCCTCATTTGGGAACAAGTTTTTTAAGTAACTTTTTGGTTTTTTTATTAAAATGTGATGTAAAAAAAACTAGTATGTTTGGGATGACTTTTTGACTTTTTACGAAAAGATGTGCAAAAAAGTAGAGAGAAAATGAAATCTTTGACTTTTTTGTATGAGTTGTTGGTTTTTTTATTTTTTTAGTGACTTTTTAGCTAAAAAAGTCACTTGCCAAATAAGGCCTAAACACATTTTATATATTAAATATATCGATTACACATTAAAAGCCTAGTAACCATCAATTACATGATCATTATCCAAACACATAATAAAAATTAATTTGGTAAAAAAAATAAATGTGTAAAAAATTTATCAATTTTACATAATTTTATATTTGGTGGATAAAAATAATTTTTAAAAATTCAAAAATATTTTTTTGACATTTATTTTTGTCAAATTAGTTTATATTTTATCAAATTAACGACTTTGACTTTGAAATTGAGCAATGATATCTTCAATAGTTTTTATTTGGATCAAGA